GGGTAACCTTTGTAACACGAACACTCGTGCCTCACGCCAGGAGGTACCTGGGTTCGATTCCTGACCAGGGTGCCTGCCTTTTGTCCATGTTCTGCATGAATGTCCCAAAGTCTCCAGTTTACTCCCATTACTAAAACAAAATGCAATGTAACCGATATTTCATGGGGCCTCCCTTGCCAGTATCAAAATATAAGAATGGGGTTTACCCTTTCTGGCAATAAAACAGGTGTTGGGATGTTAAGACACCAAACTGAAACCTTTTTCAAGGAATCATGTCTGCATTGAACTACGTATAATTGTGGTGAACATGCAAGAAAAAACATGTTCTGCATTGTCTTTGAAACTGATTGGTCCACACCAGAGACATGATTTCTTGCAAAAGTTTTCAGTTTGGTGTTTTAACATCTTAACACCTTTTTTATTGACAGAAAAAGTAAATCCTCTTATGTGTGTAATGGGTTCAACTGAGTCGCAGAAGTTGACTTGGAGGCAACACATTTATTCAGTTCCAACACACGGGGTAACTTTCCCCTGAACAGAATAACAACCTATGGTGGTGACCACCAGGCTAACAACACTAGTTACAACGTAACTGGTGTAGTTAGCCAGGTGGTGACCACCAGGCTAGCTACACTGGTTACCACGTAACTGGTGTAGTTAGTTAGGTGGTGACCACCCGGCTAACTACACTAGTTACAACGCAACTGCTACTACGGACCGGGACCAACAGCTTCGGCCCGCGTCCACATCTTGGAGACTCGTTGAACGGAGAACGTAGACGAAGGTTTCTTCCAGGATGAACAACCACCCTCTCGGGACCCGGCTCATAGTCTCTGTTGCGTGGCCGGCTCCGCCCTTGGCCTCGTCCACCTTCCAGAATCCTCGGGAAGGATCTGGGTCCTAATCACGTCACCCCCCCTAGCCCCCACTTGGGGCCCCTTTGTAAGACTTAACCGGTCACGTGTCCTCCCGGGTCAACCAGAGTGCCATGGCCTCACACAACCTCATCCTTTGGTCGGCACCCACACACCCTGTCCTGTAGGGTCGGTACTACACCCCAATATCAGTTACATATGTAACTGATATTGGCCAAGCATCACAATTCTTTGGGGTTTGCAGATTTTTCTCTATTAGGATTGCATGTGGCGATATCGCCCCCCCCCCCCAATTGCGAAAACTTGGTGGAACCGGACTAAAGAAATCTTAACATGTGGTGAGACTTTTCTTAAAACATGGCCACATGGTAAAGATACACTTAATGATTTTCTGAATCATCTCAATGCACAAAACCCGGCCATCCAGTTCACCATGGAAATGGAGGTGAATAACACACTCCCATTCCTGTATATTTTGCTTGGACATGGTCTAAATGGCAAAATAACATTCAGCGTTTACCAAAAGCGAACGCACACCGATGCCTATCTGAATACAGATTCACATCACCCAGCTCAGAAATCCTCTCTTATCAAGACACTCATACATCGGGCTAAAACAGTGTCAGATGGTGAAAGTCTAGTGAGAGAAATTAAATATGTTAAGGAAGCACTACGACATAATGGCTACAATAATGCTCAATTAACAGCATTGAATGCCAAATCACGAACGCAAAGCAACACTGCTGAAAGTGATCAGATTGTTACAACAATTAAAATACCATATATCTTAGGAGTAACTGACAAATTAGCCTGTGTTTTGCAAAGCAAAAATATTAAAGTAAAATTTGGTACAGTACACAAATTAAAAAACTAGTATCTTGCACTAAAGACGAATTGCCTAATTACTAACAAGGTGTATATCGGATTAATTGTTTATGTGGCAGATGCATATTGGTCAGATGGGACGTAACATCAGCGTGAGACTAAAAGACACCAAGAAATAGTAATGATTCTCAAACACAACTGTCGGCAGTGGCAGAACAATTCTTGTCAACAAGGACACTCAATTGATTTTGATAACGTTGAAGTGTTTGTGTAAAACTAATTATTACTGGCCAAGACTAATTAGAGAATCCATTGAAATTGAGAGAAATAGAAATAACTTTAATCGCTCTGACAGCTACAGGCTTCGTGCGGCCTGGAAGCGTATTATTAAATAAAATATGTATTACAATTACAATTCCTTATAGGGGAAACATATACTAATTAATAACAATTGACTAATTATCAATTTATTATATAATTACAATACCCTCCCCGCCTCAAATCACTGCACCTGAATGAGTTAAATGATGACGTCACCCTGCTGCTGCTCTATTTAAGACCGGGAGCAAGTGGAGGACTTCACCATTCTGGAAAATTGCCCGATGATGCTGGATGTAATTACCAGCGAAACGTCGTTGTCAAAAATTGTAAAGGATGTTGAATCACTCTTCAACACACCGGTGGGCTGAAGTGAACTATTTGTCTTTTGTCGACGTGACACTTTTTTACTGTTTGGCCGTGTTGGGTGGTGAAGGGTTACGACACATTTATAAATAACGCGATCTAACTCAAAAACGTTTATTATGAAGCGTAATAATAATAAAACACTGCAGCGGTTTTTAGTAAAATTACAGATCATCAGCCCAGTACAGCTAACACTATTTGTCACTGTTTACGGCTTCACTCTGTTTAAGCATTAATGGTCCAGCACAGTCCAGATTCCCTGTTTCTGCTTGAGAGTATGCCTATTTGTAAATGTGTGACCATCTAATAAACAGGAATAAGGAACTCATGAATACAATATAACGTGATCTAACCACCGACAGTAATCTCCATGAGTTGCGTCGACGTTTTGCGTGATACCATCGCGACTTATGCTCGAATTCTGCACTGCGTCCACAGGTTTGCGTCAGATACTGGATCTACTCTTACACGGTGAGTACAGCAGAGTGACAGACCTGTCTTTGATGGGGACTCGAGACAACAGACAGACTGGTTTCTGGGGTCCTTGGACAATAGACAAACAGACCAGTTTCTATTGGGTCATCTAGACCCATAGACAGACAGACTGCTCTCCGATAGATTCTTTACGGGTTTCACGACGGTGACGGCCTGGCAGCCGCAGTCCCCTGGAAGTCTGCAGCGGTGCCGGCGCCGTGAGATGGGCATCACCCTCACAGCGTCTCTGTGCCCGGCAGGCTGCACGGCGGAGCTCGTGAGCGGCGCGCCACCGCCGGCCCCGGCTCGACGCCTTCCCAGGTGAGTGCCGCGACAGGGAAAGAAAAAAGACTTCCCCCCCCCCGCACCCCCCCGCACCCCCCGAGCCCCCCACCCCCCCCGCCCCGCCCCCGCTTGGGGTGGTTGAAGCACTCACTAATTCACTCCAGTCACTCATCAGTGATCAGTCGCCTCCTTGTCACAATTGTATTGCTACTGCCATGTAACTTCCCTTCTTGATTCCTTCACTCAGTCTGCCAGACACTGATTATTTAATCTTGTCCAAACTGTTCAACCAACACACTGCAGGTCACAATCGTCTCTTTTCCCCACGTTAGAATGATAAACTTGATAGGAAGGACTGATGCGGATAATTCAAAATCGAGGATAATAAAAAATATATAAATTTTCCGTGGATTTCTATGCAAAAAATCACTAATATAGATATAAATTATGTTTAAGTTAAGAAAATGTTGTTTGTTAATGAATAAAGAAAATTGTAGTAAAGAATGCATTGATCTTGTTTGATTACAAAAGGTGATGTGTGTGCTCAGTGATAACACTTTCCCTGCTCCCGCGCAAAAGACTCGGCCCACTAAGTGGATGATAGCAGAGCCACGCCAATCAACATCAATCAAATTCCACCCACTGTTGTAAAGATATGCAACTACTCTACTGTGGAGGCGATTACGTGGATTTCGTATTAACCAGAGTGGATATTTGTTCTATTTAAGCACGTGGCTTGTTATTAACATTTCTTATAATAACAATGTATTACTGTTTTTAGATGGATGATTAATTTGGGCTTAAGGGAAAAATCCATGAGTTATTAATTTATATAAAATTCTCGGGTGCCGTTTAAACCCGCAAATCGGATAAACGGTACACGAATAATCGAAAGTTTACTATATGTAGTAGTTTCTGTTTTGAGTGTCTGTGGGTGGTTGTGTATGAGTGATTGTGAGTTGTATTTGAGTGGTTGTCTAGCAGTAAATGTGATAGTTTGTCTATGAGAGGTTGGTCATGAAAAGTTCATCATGAGTAGTTGCCAGTAAGGGCTTTATGGGGAACGGTAGTTTAGCAGTGAGCATGCTGCCACCCGAGTTGGATTCCCGCTCACTACCAGCACCAGTGACAATTATCTGACATGGTCCTTTGGCCTACTCCTAGGTGGACTTGGCCTCAAATGAGAGCCTGGTACAGTGTGTAAATATCGCTGCTTGGGATACAAAGGTGGCCGGGCGTGGTGCTCGCCACCCACCCCCTCCTGTGCTGTGCCGGCCTTCATACGTACTCACAGCAACTGCGTCAAAAGTCTTTTGAGGCTATAATGGGGAATTTGATCTTTGTCTGAGAGAGAGATTCTGTCTGTGTGAGGTCGCCTTTGAGAGATTGTCTATGAGTGTTCATCTCTGCTCCCTGCCGCTCACTGCCGTGTGTCCTGTGTGTCCAGGCTGAACCCCTGGGAGCTCGTCGCCCTGAGTCCTTCCGTGCCTCTCCCCGCACTGCGTGCGTTCTGCTCGCACCACCTCTCTCTCCTCCTCAGCCACGACCCCCGGCTCAAAGGTTCTATGTGCACCGGGCTTCGTGTGGATGTTCACGGCACGCTGCAAGCGGGTTCACCGAGTGACCGCTCACCGTAGTTATAATAATCTTCATCGTCGTCGTTTGTAGGGCGCCTTTCGTGCCACAAAGATTAAGGCCACATCACCAAGTTAAGATGATTAAACAAATATTTACAAAGACAAAAAGAATACTCGTAGAATGATTACATTACATAAAGAGAAGGGAAACATTTAATTAAATTGTTAAATAATCAAAAGATGCCAGCGTCAAATCAGAAGGCTACAACAAACAAATAGGTCTTGAGCTTTGATGTTAAATGTAGCCACCTCATTCGGCGTACGTCGATGAGGTCGATCACGGTTGTGAGTATCGTTTTTTTATGCCTGATAAAAAGCACCGCTAAGACGCTGGTCACCGTTTTGCCACGCCTTTAGAAACGTCTCACAATAAACACAACGCGTCCACCCATGTTAACCGAGAAATGATGGAGCTGCGATGGTGTAATGGTCAGCAACATTGGACTTGCAAAAATCCAGAAGTCACCGGTTCAATTCCATCCTTTGGTGCGGGATTTTCTTTAATCCCTCCCACAGTCACGATTGACAGGTTGCGTGCGGTGGGGTCAAGTGTGGGTATGCCCCCACCCCTTCCGAGACGTCTCAGAATGACAATATTTATTAATACTGGAGGCATCCGATGAGCTTGAAGCTCTTTTTCACAGCTATCCAGTAGGGGCGGGTAAGAACGTTACAACAAACAATACAAAAACACGATAGTAGTACAAAGTACAAGAAAGATAAACAAATTACTGAAAACATATAAATTAAACTAAACCATCCCCATCCTACCAGGCAAAGCCCACTGAGGTATCCACTTATTTTTTAGAAGCGACCTGGCCACAAATAATAGCTCAACAAAGTGGCTTATCATCCATGCATAACAGCGTCACGACCGTAGCAACTACCACCCGTAATAAGGCTTGGCCATATACATGAAGAACACCATCACAGAGTTGTATGCCTTCCCACCAACTGAAAAGAAGCCACCTACACCTCCAGCATCAAGATAGGAGAGCTGCATTTAACTGACGTGTACAGTGCCCCTATTCAAAGTGGCCAAGGCCAGCACTCCCAAGTGCATCAATCCCAGCATACTCTGTGGGGCTATGCAGTAGTAGATCAGGCCGACGGCAAAGACCTCACCGACTGGATTTCCGCCGATGATCTGCACCTGGTTTTCGATCCCAAGCAGCAAGCAACCTTCCACTTTGCTCGCTGACAATGCGACTACAACCCTGACATGACCACCATCGTTTCCAAAGATCAAAGTGGGTGCACACTTCACACGTTCTGCAAAATACTCCCAAGCTTCCCCAGAAGTCAACATAGGCCCATCAGTCATTGCTCATATTGGCATTGAAATCCTCGTGATTGTGTCAACGATTACCAAGGTGCAACCTGGTCAAAGCCGACTGGGACCACTATAAGGAGACGGTAGACAGTGGAGAGTCGATCTCCCACAATACCAGAATGCTATCACCGTTTATTTGCTTCCTTGCTGCAGCCGCCACGAAGAGCATTCCCGAGGCTTCTGGAAAGAATCCACTTACTCCCCGTGACAAAAGAGACCCAGGACTTGCTCCGACAGTACAACCAATCAGGCAGCCCACAGGTTGGAAAGTCCTTTAGACTCAGCCAGACACCAGCAGTGGATTGAATTATTTGAAGGCCTGGACTTCACAAACACAAGCCACCAATGCATGGGCTCTAGTATGATGCCTGAGTGCTGCTAAACCAACAGAATACTGGACTGCAAAAGTCCTGCCAAACTCAATAGCCTCCAATCTAGTGGAGTACACAAAAGGACAGCTCAAGAAAAACATCACGTGAGAGATCCATTGCCAATAAACCAGACAATGGCCTCTATTTCTTCGTAATACTCCACCACCATCAGCACAGAGGAAGCGAGGGAGGGTCTGGGTGCAATGAAGAAAGGCAAGGCTGTCAGCCGAGATGCGATCCCCCCCACAATTCCTCCATCCCTTAGACACTAGGGGACTCCAATGGCTGGCAAAACTGTATACAAAAACCATGAAAACCGGATGCATCCCAAAAGCATGGCGGGAGGCGATGGTCATTACCATACCTAAACACAGCAAGTCAACCAACTACCCAGGAAGCTATAGACCGATATCACTCATGTGCATGACCTATAAACTCCTGGAATGCATCATCCTCAGAGAATCAGCTCCCTCATTGAGTCGGTGATCCTTGAAAAACAAGCGGGATTCTGGCCTGGATGCAGCTGCTGTGACCAAGTTTTGGCCCTTGCGACACACATCGAGGCTGGATTCCGGAAGAAATCCAAGACCGGCGCAGCCTTTGTTGACTTATCATTGGCCTACGGCACAGTCTGGATTAAGGGCTTGATGTTGAAGCTCGCAAAGACCATTCCCTGCCTCAAAACAATAATCCTGATATAGATGATGCTGAGCAATAGGCGACTGCGTGTCTATATGGGCAACAAATAACAGCTCACCCCGGTTCCTCAACAATGGATTGCCACAAGGTTCAGTACTCGCGTCATCGATCTTCAACGTCTACACAAGTGACATGCCACCAACTGGGTCATGCAAATTTGTTTATGCGGATGACCGTGCCCTGGCAACGCAAGCAGCCACTTTCAACAACATCGGATCCACTCTGAACCAAGATCTAACCACCATGGGGGAATATTTCCAGAAATTGAGACTCAAGCCAAATCCCCACAAAAAAACAGTCACAGGATTTAATCTTGACAATAGGCAGCACCAAGCACACTCTGAAAGGGACCTGCGGCAATACTGTGCGACACGACCTCACTCCAACCTATTTCAGAGTGAAGCTAGACCATATGCGAACCTTCCACGACTACCTGAAAAGGTAGCTGTCAAGACCAAAACAAGGGTCACCTGGTTCAGAAACTGGCAAGCACAAGCTGGGTGGGGAGCCTACGGATATCAATGAGGGCACCTTTTGTGCTCTGTAGCCGAGTACTGTGGTCACACGCGACTTGTTCATGTCCAAGCTGAACACTGCAATGCGGTGTAATACAGGAACCCTCAAGTCGACCCCAACACTCTGGCTGCCCGTGCTGTCACAAATCTCCCCCCACTGCAACGCTGCAACCCTCCAGGAAGTTCTACAAATCGAGGAAAACGGTTGTCTTCCAATTAATCAGGACCTCCATAACGTCCCTCGTCATCGCTTGAAGTCACGTAAGCCCTTTTGGACCCATCAGCTTCAACAATCTGAGTTTAACCCCGATGAAGCTTGGAGAGCTGAATGGAGTTCAAAGAAGTCGCAGACAGACACCTTGTGAAAGACCCAACGCAGGTGATCTCTGGGTTTGATCTTCCACGAACCTCATGGTCTACCCTAAACCACATGCACTGCACAAACCATGGCAGATGCAGATACCTGATGCACAAATGGAAAGTGAAAAACTCTTCAGTCTACGACTGTGGTCATCCAGAACAGACCATTCAACATATAAAGATGCAATGCCCGATCCACAAATACGAAGGAGACAATACAGCGATACTCTCCGCTCACTCCTGACGTGGATATCTGGTTTAACCACCTGGACATGAAATTGTAGCTGTTGCTCTGCATCTATATCACCCATACGAAGGAAGAAGTCAATGCACACTCATCCACACACGGGGGAAACGCACCAATTGCCGAGTGTGTGCATGTGTTTTTGGCTTTGCTGGGTGTGCACATTATCATGACTCTGTGTATGGTTGGTTGACTGTGTGTGCGTGGTTGACTGCGTGCGTGGTTAACTGTATGTGTGTGGTTGGCTGTGTGTGTGCATGGTTGGCTCTGTGTGTGCGTGGTTGACTGTGTATGTGTGTGGTTGACTGTATGGTTGGTTGATGGTGTGTGTGTGGTTGACTGTATGTGTGCGTGGTTGGCTGTGTGTGTGCGTGGTTGGCTCTGTGTGTGCGTGGTTGACTGTGTATGTGTGTGGTTGGCTGTATGGTTGGTTGATGGTGTGTGCGTGGTTGACTGTGTATGTGTGGTTGACTGTATGGTTGGTTGATGGTATGTGTGTGGTTGGCTGTATTTCGTGCGCTCTGTGTGCAGTTGCCGACGCTGTGTCTCGGCAGGCAGAGTGGAGCTTTGCAAAGATGCCGCCGTTTCTTTTTGATATTTATAGACAGGTAAGTGTGAACGTTTATTCATCGGTCATTCTTCATTCAACCTCTAACATGCTTTTGCACCGAGCCATCCATACCGCAAATAGATATAATTTGCCTCGGTGTGGAGCCTCGAATGGTTTGGGTTCGATTCCTGTCTCGGGCTACTTTCTATATGGAATTTATATGTTCTCCTCCTGTTCTGCCTGGGTTTCTTCTGGGTTCTCCGATTTCTTCCTGTAACTTAAAAAAAACACATTTTAAACATCCTATGACTGACAAATTACTTAATTGGCATTACACACAGCAGCAACCTTGCCCCTCTACTGTGAAAGTTTTGTAGGACTCTCCTGAAAATAAGTCTTGAGGCTCAGTGAGGTTTTCAGAATATCAGATTCAGAATATGTATTTATTTCTACTGGAGGAATCTGATGAGCTATAAAGCTCTTTTTCACAGATATCCAGTAAGGGGTCGGGTCAGAACCTTATGTTTCCTGGATTAAGCATCGCAATAATAACTCGTCAACTGTTGACGGAACCGGAAATGGTTTTGGAAGCAGCACCGAGTTGTGAGGACACGGGAAGACCCGGACTGCTGTAGCGATGCGTCTCCTTCACGTGTCCTTCACGTGTCCTTCACGTGTCCACAATAGAGGTTTTTGGGTTAGATTGCGTCAATATAAATGTGTCGGTAAACCCCTCACCACCTAACACAGCCAAATAGTGAGGTTTGTCACGTAAACAAAACATGCCAATTAATTACTTGTCCAGCGCACCAGTTGTGTGTTAGAGAGTAAACTCACAAAATTGACCATTCGAGTACGACATTTCACCGGTAATTACATCCGGCCTCATCAGGCAACAGCCAGAATGATGGATTAATCCTCCTCCTTCGGTCTTAAACAGAGGGGTAAATGTGATGTCACTGTGAGCCAATCAGACAAAATCCTCCTTCACGTGCAGTTGTATGTGTGGAAGGAAAAAAATAATTTCCTCAGAGAAAACCGAATCGTGTGTGGAGTACAAACAATCCTCACAAATTGGTCACCAACCCACTTTCTGTACTGTCCTCAATGGCGACTTAGCATCTCTTGTACATGACCTCGGTACAATCCAACAACGCTGTCTCCACGTCACTGGGTTACAGGCATTCATTACCTCCACACCCAGTCTCTCTGTGTGTGTCTTTGTTCTATGACCGTGTCTCCCTCGCTGTATGCCAGCAGGTTTTGTCTGTCCTTGTGCGTACGTTTGTCTATAAGTCTGTGTGTGTCAGTCAGTCGGTCTGTCTTGCATGTTTATCATTTCATCATGCCTGTCTGCTTGTCTGCCTGTGTGTCCCTATGTCTTATGTCCAATCTGTCTACTCGTCTGCATGGCTGTCTCTCGGCCGCTACGTGTTTTGGTTATACCTGTCTCTGTCTCTGCCTTTCTGCTTGCCTCTTAATGTGTCTCTTAGCCAGTCTGCGTGTTTCTGCCATGAATATCTCACTATGCTGCATGCTGTGCTGTGACTTTGGGGAGCGGTAGTGTATTGGTTAGCGCGCTGCGCTACAAACCCGGCGACCTGAGTTTGATTCCCGCCCACGGCCAACACCAGTGATGATTATCTGAACTGGTCATGGGCTGCTCCTAGGTCGACTCGGCCTCGAATGAGTACCTGATGTAGTGTGTAAACATCACCACTGGGGAGACAAAGGCGGTCGGGCGTGGTGCTGGCCACCCACCCCCTCGTGTGCCATTCTGGTCTTCATAGATGCTCGCGAACAGCACTTGCCCCAACAGTCTTTCCAGAATATGGGGGGGGATCTTTGTCTTTGCTCTGACTGTGCTGTGACTCCGCTATAACCGTTGTGCGGCTGCGTGCTGTTCCTGTGCTCCCATAGCTGATGCTGCCGTTCGGTGTGGAGGAGCTGATATCTCAGTTTGAGAGCATCCTGGGCACACAGGAGTTGAACTGGCCGGCCGTGCTGTCCTGCGTCTCCGCACTGCTCGCGTGCTTCCCAAAGGCCCACGTCCTGCTGCAAGGCACGCACACCTATTTGTTTTTTATTTTCTGTGTACATCTGCGTCTGTGTTTATCTTGTTGTCTGTATGAGTTTGTGTTCATGTCTTGTTGCGTGTGAGTGTGTCTTGTTGTTTGTGTGAGTGTGTGCATGTGTCTTGTGGTGGAAAGCGGGAGTGTAGCGGTGAGCGCGCTGCGCTATGAACCCGGCGACCCGAGTCCGATGCCCGCTCGCGGCCAACACCAGTGACGATTATCTGAACTAGTTCTGGGCCTCCCCAAGGCCGACTCGGCCTCAAATGAGTACCTGATACGGTGTCTAAACATCGCCACTAGGGAGACAAAGGCAGCCGGGCGTGGTGCTGGCCACCCGCCCGCTTGTGTGCCATTCCAGCCTTCATAGGCGCTCGCTAACAGCCTTTGCCGCAACAGACTGTTAAGGCTTTAAGGGATTCTTTGTCTTTCTCTTTTTGTGTCTTGTTGTCTGTGTCTCTATGGCTGGCTGGCAATTTGTCTTTCTGGACGTTTTTGTAATTATAATTTTATCTGTTTTGTTAGCTGTGTGTGTATCTGCGTGCGTGTTCGTCTTCTTCAGCTGGCAAAACAACCCCCACCTCTGTTCCTGCCGGTTGGTGACGCTGTGGTGGCTGTGAGCAATGCCACGGGGGGGGGGGGGGGGGGGGATATAAATCGTCCATTCCCCTCGTGGTGCTCGCAGTCGCCACAGTGGCCAACGGGGGCTCTGGAAGGGTGTGAGGGAGGGCTGGTGACCCCTCCACATTCAAACTAAGTTACCAAAAAAACGTCCAGAAAAGATCACACTAAGCTCGTGCTGGAGGCTTCGGGGGTGGGGGAGAGGCGTCTCTGACGTCTCCTGGTCAAACCCCATTTGGTACAGCCAGGAGACTGAACCCTGAACCTCAAAATTCTGGGTCATATCGCCTTCTTGCCCAGCCTGTGTGTTTCTGTGTGTTTTGTAATTGTGTGAGAGACACCTGTACAGGGCACAATGTCAAGCGGGGTTGACTTGTCTGGCTGTGTGTGTATCTTCCTGTTCGGTTCTTTTAGCGTCGTTGTCTATGTGTGGCCATATGTTTCGGCCACCTGTCTGGCTTTATCCCTGTGTCTTTTGTCTGTGAGCCTGCGGAGTCTCTGTGCACCTCCTGATTGATTTAACCACTGTCGTCATCGCATGCACCAGCCACAATAATAAAAAAAGAATTCGTGAATTACATTTGCCTTCATAGGGAAAAATCTGGGGTGACATTTTGGGAATTGCCCTCCTTCGTAAGCACACCCTTCGACGTGTAGCTATGAGGAAGGTTCATTGCCCCAAAGCATCAGCGACTACAGTAGGGGTAGTGGGGGTAGAGAACAAACACGCTGGTCACCCCCACCCTTGACCGAGTGCAGTGCTGGACAGAGGCGTAGCTAGGGGGGGGCAGGGGGGTACATATGTCCCCGGGCGCCAAGGTAAAGGGGCGCCAAAATGAGGCTTACAACGTTACATTATAACTTATTGCGGCGGGCGCGGCAGCCTGAAACTACTGCACAAATCTACACCTCAACCTAAAAGTTTATATCAAGTTCAAGTTCATTTATTAGGTATAGCCCTGTGAGCCATTCGGCTTTTGAATCGGGTGCAACCGCAACAAACAAAAAACAAAAACATGAACAAAAAACATCTTAAAGTGAATATATCCCGCCACAAACAGCCTACATGTCATGTTATTACATTTTGGTACGCGCGCCTATTAAGAACTTACATGGAAGAACGTCCCAAACAACAGACAGGGGCAGTCTTTCAGCATTAGTCACTGGCCTGTTTTTGGTGGCGGAAACTACGACGGCCTGAAACACGCTGGAGTGCACGATCAGAAGCTGTTAAAGCTATCTATGAAGGACTGGATGAACTAGTATGGCTGCTAGACAAATTATCGGAGGACGTAACTATGACGCCTGAAACCAGAAGTGATGCAGAACAGTTACAGGCATGCGTATTAAATTTTAACTTCATAGTTTTATTACATTTCTGGAATGTCATTCTTGGAAAAATTGATCGTGTTCAGAAGCGCTTACAGGATCCTACTATGAATTTCAAGGAAGCAGCAACTGATCTTGAATCTTTGGAGCATGAATTTGTCAAGCTTCGTGATGATTTGAGCCAAGTTGCTGTAGAAAACGCCAAAACAAGATGCACAGCCTGGGGGATCGATGTGGACAGAAGAATTAGGCGACGTCGGAAGATGCCAGGAGAACTGGCAAGAGATGCAGGACTTTCAGCAGAAGAAGAAATTGTGCGCGTTATGAAGAGCATATTTTATCGACTTCAACAGGAGATGTCAACACGGTTTTTACGACTAAAAGACCTGAACACAAAATTTGGATTTCTGCTGGACGTCAAAACTCTTATATCCGATACAGATGTCGATGCAATTCGTCGAAATTGCACAGATTTTGGAAATTTCTATGACACCGACATCAATGGCCACGAACTTTTCACAGAAATTGGAGATTGCAAAATGCTGCTCAGTAACCGGAATGAAGTTCTGCCAGAAAATCCTTTGGATCTTCTTCTTCTTGGTTCTTTCGGTAAAGTCACGTAGAAGGGAAGTAATAAAATAATAAAAATAAAACATAATAAAATAATTCTCACGACGTTTCGGCTACAACGCAAGCAGCCGTCTTCAGGTGAAGAATGAGACACTACCAAGCTAGGAGCTTATATATACGCTGGGTTGGAGGTGCAAGAAGAGCGCCTTAACAAAAAGAATGTGCATATGAAGATGAATTTAGCATATTCATGGGTTCGCATTAGAAGAAGTTACAGCAGCAGATGTTAGTGTAAATGCGTTTGGTATTACCTTAGAGTCGCGGCATCTCTTCAGAAAGGTGAGAGACTCGATTAGCTGAGCCTTCTTATCACGGAGCTTGTTGAAGGATCTCAAAGTTATGTGGAAACCCTCCCCGTAGAGGCGGTTAAATTTCGATTTTTAGCTTTCGTGACTGCAGGGATTCATCTTCTTGGTTCTTTCGGTAAAATCACGTAGAAGGGAAGTAATAAAATAATAAAAATAAAACATAATAAAAATAATTCTCACGCTGTTTCGGCTACAACGCAAGCAGCCGTCTTTAGGTAAAGAATGAGACACTACCAAGCTAGGAGCTTATATATACGCATTTACACTAACATCTGCTGCTGTAACTTCTTCTAATGCGAACCCATGAATATGCTAAATTCATCTTAATATGCACATTCTTTTTGTTAAGGCGCTCTTCTTGCACCTCCAACCCAGCGTATATATAAGCTCCTAGCTTGGTAGTGTCTCATTCTTCACCTGAAGATGGCTGCTTGCGTTGTAGCCGAAACGTCGTGAGAATTATTTTATTATGTTTTATTTTTATTATTTTATTACTTCCCTTCTACGTGACTTTACCGAAAGAACCAAGAAGATGAATCCCTGCAGTCACGAAAGCTTTAAATCGAAATTTAACCGCCTCTACGGGGAGGGTTTCCACATAACTTTGAGATCCTTTAACAAGCTCCGTGATAAGAAGGCTCAGCTAATCGAGTCTCTCACCTTTCTGAAGAGATGCTGCGACTCTAAGGTAATACCAAACGCATTTACACTAACATCTGCTGCTGTAATTTCTTCTAATGCGAACCCATGAATATGCTAAATTCATCTTCCAATGCACATTCTTTTTGTTAAGGCGCTCTTCTTGCACCTCCAACCCAGCGTATATATAAGCTCCTAGCTTGGTAGTGTCTCATTCTTCACCTGAAGACGGCTGCTTGCGTTGTAGCCGTAACGTCGTGAGAATGATTTTATTATGTTTTATTTTTATTATTTTATTACTTCCCTTCTACGTGACTTTACCGAAAGAACCAAGAAGATGAATCCCTGCAGTCACGAAAGCTTTAAATCGAAATTTAACCGCCTCTACAGGGAGGGTTTCCACATAACTTTGAGATCCTTCAACAAGCTCCGTGATAAGAAGGCTCAGCTAATCGAGTCTCTCACCTTTCTGAAGAGATGCCGCGACTCTAAGGTAATACCAAACGCATTTACACTAACATCTGCTCCTGTAACTTCTTCTAATGCGAACCCATGAATATGCTAAATTCATCTTCATATGCACATTCTTTTTGTTAAGGCGCTCTTCTTGCACCTCCAACCCAGTGTATATATAAGCTCCTAGCTTGGTAGTGTCTCATTCTTCACCTGAAGTGAAGACGGCTGCTTGCGTTGTAGCCGAAACGTCGTGAGAATTATTTTATTATGTTTTATTTTTATTATTTTATTACTTCCCTTCTACGTGACTTTACCGAAAGAACCAGGAAGATGAATCCCTGCAGTCACGAAAGCTTTAAATCGAAACCTTTGGATCTTCTTGGTTTTATTGTGTTTTATGGAGATGACATATTTCCGAATTTGCGAATTTCACTGCAAATTGTATTAACAGCAGTTTCAATTGCAAGCTGTGAGCGGTCGTTCAGCAAATAGAAACTTATTTTGTCGTATTTGCGTGCTTCAATGGGACAAGATCGTCTCAGCGATCTTGCTCTTCTTAGCGTTGAAAGAGAAACATTGGAAAAAACAGATTTTGATTACGTGATTGACCAGCTTGACAGTGAAATCAAGAAAAATTAATCTCTTGTAGACTATGTCAACCAGTCTACGACAGTGACTGAGTGAGCCATGTAATATAATTTCTATAAATTAGCTTCTTTAAATACAATGTTTTATTAAAATGTAAATTGTTATTCCTTATTCGATGTAATAGGAAAATGTGATTAAACGGGGGGGGAAGGGGGCGCCAATTTTATAGTTCGTCCCCGGGCGCAAAATATCCTAGCTACGCCTCTGGTGCTGGATTATCCTAGTATCAAAAGTAGCATATGCTACGGGACCCGCACTTTCAAGGGCCCCGCGCTAAATGCTTTCGAGCTATCAATTCCGGTTCAGTGACTCTGCACTTGCTCTATTACTATAGTACTATACTGCCTACAGCTTTTATG